ACACAACGTCAAAGAATTAAATAGGATGTGGACTTGGTGAGAATTTCACAGTAAATGAGGCAATTAAGTTAATTTTGAAGACAACAGACAGCAAGACAGCAGAGCGGCCTGATACACACACCAACAGCCCAAGAGTAGCCATGTACCACTTGCAGCACTTGTTTTGCTATCGCTACTCACCCGCAGAGTTTTAATCTGAAGCGTCCCCTGATCCTGTATAGATGTTCGAGGGTCTCTGCCCAGGAAGGTGAATCCTTCTTTTAACCAGCTGATGACAGGAGGGGGGTCCCCTGTTGCCTTGCACTTCAGCAAAGCTGTCCCATCCACTGCCAGTGTCTGATTGACCGGCCCCTGGAGGATGATGGGTGGAGGCCTATCTGTCAAGACTAAACAGTGACACACACATTGGCATCCACCCCTTTAATGATCCTCTGCTGCAGTTAGCCCTTTCCTTGACACAGTACCAATTTTAACAGACTGGCTTAAGTTAGCCTCTAAAAGGCTAAAAAAAATTATTTCTGGAATACCCACTGATACATGTTAACAATTAACTGGTATATTTGAAAAGTGTTTTTGTAAGAATTTTATCTCACCACTGTGAGATGACACCTAGACATATAAACTTTTGTTGGCAAAGATCATCAGACTCATTTGATTAAGACAGGATGAAAATTAAGACCTTGATCCAGAAAAGAATTGAGTTATATCTCTTATGACAATTTAGGAAAGCTCTTAAAACAGATGTTTAATGTGACATCAAAATGTGATGAATTGCTTACCTGGTTTAGGACCTAAAAGAGAAAAGCTGTTGAAGTTCAAAGTGAAACACCATAGCCATTCTAGCATGGGTACCAACCACATCCCCCATTAATGCTCAACTTGCAAGTTTTCATCAGCAAAAATACCTAACAATAATACAAAACATTTTCATAATCTGAGTGATCTAAATGACTGTACCACTCTGTCCAGCAGAGAAAAATTCAAACTCAGTCAAGCCACTTAACAGCTTACTTATCAAATCATTTAATCACCTGTTAAAGCCATGAACTTGCTTTTTCCTCCCCTTAATAATTTACATTTGTATGTGTGAAATAATGCTTAAAGGACTCTGTAACTAGTGAGCAAGGGCATGGCTGGGTATAAACCTCATTCCATGACCAGTGGGATATCTTGAAGTTGAGGTAGAATGCTTGTGTTCACTTTTCTTGAAAGACCTACTTTTCATAAATAATTCTGCTGTTTACCTATTCTCCGAGTCCTCTGTTAAGCAGCAAAAGATGAGTCTCTGTTTCTGAAGACTGTGTTTATACAACGTGAATGTGAATTTCTCGAATATAAACAAGGCTATGACTCCTGCATGAAATCAGTCTAACAGGACCAAGAATTTATTTTTATTTACCTGCCACACTGCTGCTGTTTTAAATCTTTGAACAGCTGAACAATTATAGGATTCTTATTAAATGTTCTAACAGGCAGAATTAGCTCTTAAACCAGTGTAAGACAGCCTGCCTCCACTGATGTCAATTGAGTTTGAATCGTTTATTTTAGCTGAGAATCTGGTTCATTATAGTCCATACACAACACCTGACTAACGATGAAGTGAAAATAAATTATTGTGAAGGAATATGGTTTCTGTTGTATTTGAGCTGTTTTAGATGCAAACCTCTGGAAGCTTCAACAGATCGCAAGCACTTTCATTACATTATTTAATAAATAAAAAATATTAGGGAGATGTTAGTGGTACATTTTCTACTTAAAATAATCGTTTCTGAAATTGTAATGTTGCAAAAATACTACCTATGTTCTTCTGTTAGCAAGATACACAAAGGATAGAATCATCAGTATTAGTAGCACCTTGGGGTGTGAGTCACAATTATTGAAATTGAAACTGAAAATAGAAAGTCAATACACATTCTTTACTAACACCAGAACGTGAAAGCTGATTTGGAAATTCCGAAATATCACCCACTGAATGCAGAGATAGGACAGGAAACTCTATATTACAAGAAAAGAGAAAATGTAATGCATTTTCACCTTGGTATGAAATTTTATCTCATTAAGGTTCCTTATGACTACACAGTTCAGCCATTTGGTGAAATAAAAATTGATCTCAGCTTGCACGTACTATCAACATACCTGCAGCACGAGTATATTCAAATGAAAACTTAGCTGTGTATGTTTTCATTTATATTTAATGTAAAACAGCAAATCCCAGTTTTCTAGGTAGCTAAAAATTAAGGAAAAGTAATTACTTAAATTGCTAACTATTCCATTGCAGTTATTTGCTGCATCTAATTGCCTTTCCTATGTGTAGCAATGTAGGTATTTTTAAAACCTACTGCAGTACAGATATTGTTCTTTGGCATGTAATTAGTTTTTTTACAGCCCAAATGAGGAGCTCATAATCCTTTAAATAGCTCTGATCAATAGTGTAATTGAAAGTCTCCTGGCCAGAAGGAATCTTCATTTTCAAGGGTGTTATGGGTGAAAGACCACTACAGGTTTCCATGACACTAAGGCTAAAGGTTAAATGAACACTTAGGGTTTCCACTGATCTGTGAACGACTGTATTGTCTTCACAACTATGACTTGTAAATCTTCTCTAAAACGTGTATAAGTGCCTAGTATTCCTACTACACAGGTCTCGGAAAAGGATTCAAAACTCAGAGGTTTAAAAACATATATCATAAGCATTATGAAGAACAGAGAGATAATGAAAAATATTCACAAAAAGGTTGGGGGATTTGTTAGTTTCTCTTACAACGTTTTAATTTTTTATTTAAATTTTACATTGTTTTCTCCTAGCAGGAAACTTTTATATCCATTCTACAGAAACATTTTGTGTGGCTAAAATATATTTGCATAGTAGAAGAGAAATTTATTTCAAAATTGATTTAGTTTTAAAAAATGGGCTTGAAACTATTTGTCAGCAACCATATATTCACATATTCTGGTAACTGAAAAACTACCAGATTCCTTTTGTGAAAAAGTGCAGCTTAAATTTTGAGCAGAGTATCAGAAAAGAACATATTTATTTGTTAATGAACAGTTTATTCACTACAAATGCAATTTGGATCAACCAAAACCATGCTTAAATTTGGGTGGAATTTGATCAAATTACAACAGGAAATTGAAATAAGAGGATAACAAAATGAAGTCTTTAGTTTGGCACTTCCAAAATCAACATTTCGAAAGTTTTCCTGGTGAATTAATGGGGTAAATCAGACCCAAGTCACGAAATTCTCATGATGAACACTAGCATGATAGGGCAGGGTGCTCTCCTGAGAGGTGGAAAAGCAGAAACCAACCCTTCCTCTGTCTTTTTTGCAGAAGAGCTTCAGAGGAGGCTGTGAAGTTGTTCTGAACCTCTCCTATTTGAAGCTGTCATGCTTCCTATAAAACATGTAGCATATATTTTATCACGGACAGGAATCATGGCATCCAGATTTGCAGATGAGTAAACTGTGAGTGATATTAAATTCTTCCGGGAGGATTTGAGAGAAACATATCCCAGAATATTCAATAGAACTATAGTCAAAAAATCGCAAAGGGGCTTGGGAAAAATGCCTTAAGTGTCTATTCCAAATCAGGGGAGAGGGAGCTGTTGAGGTATGCTGCCAACTCCTTTTATCTTTTTCTTTTTTTTTTTTTTTGACATCTGTTATGAATTCTCCTTATAGGTCCAGCTTTTTGCTTTCATTCAAAAGCCCAGAAATGTGATCTTTTTAATTAACTGAATACCCCAAAACATTTCATTCATATGTTGCCATCCCCTGGGGGAGGTTAAGCTTACTCCTCCATTCCAATATTCATCCTAAACCGCAACTTCTGGGTAAACTAGCATTGGTAGGCTGATTCTACAGTTGAACATGCAGTGGTCAAAATTTTTATTAATAAATATAAATAATGACTAGACTAGGAGAAATTGAGATCTTCTCCAAAATACTCTGTGCATGATGGATAGATTTATGGAATAAATTACTAATTGTAAACTAATTTTTTTATCTTGAGCATAGACATAGTTAGCTGGAAGCGTTTGGTTTATTCGCATGATCTGTCATTTTAAGACTGTAAGCTGCATATTCACTTCCTGAGTTTGAAAGGATTGCTAAGATTGTCTCAATTTTTAAAATGATTTTTCTTTTCCAGATGAGTGTTCAGACAGTGGATTATGTGATAGCCTTTCAAGAAAATAAAAGATTTGAATTTCAAATACACTGAAGGCACTTAGCACAGTCCATAATCAGCAAAATTATCACTCAACTCAGCACATTTCATCACAGCTAGTAATCTCTTCTCATGTGAACACTTGAGTTAAAAATATTTCCAGTAAAGACTTGTAAGTGCAAAAATGTAACAACTGAAATAGTTCTATATATGGTATAATTAAGCACTTGTTTTTCTGCACGACATATGTTTTCATTCTGTATTGGAACTTCAATTGGATCTAAATTACTCTGGATCAAACAAAAATGTGTTCAAAATGAAAAAGATGGCTTGCCACTATTATTAAATCATTAACCAAACAGAAAAATTTTGGGCTATGAAGTAAAACTGAAATCACCAGCCAAAAGCTAGAACACTAATGCTTAAGCATATAGCTAGCACGCACAGTGTTTATCTTTTATTATACTTTAAAACCATTAAATTAGATTTCCCTACTGATAAAAATCATTAGCTTCCATAACTTCTGCTCAGCATCAACTGAAACAGATTATTTAGACATTTATAGTTAACTTCCTAACCGAAAGCAATTAAAAAATATCTGTGATCTAATGGTACATTTATTTATATAAACTCAGTTCCACAATATTGTTCTGGCATTTTGCTCCTGACCTCACCTGCCCTTTGACTCAAGGATGAAATGGTATTTCTATAAAGCAACCTTGTATTATTTCATAATGATCATGCTGACAGTGGGTTCTGGAAAGCGTTTGAAGAACGCAGGCCTTGCATTCCTTGAGCAGCAGAGCCACTAGCTAACGCTTTCTCCAGCAATGTGGAACGCACACCGCCTTCAATCAGAATTAATTGTAGTTGAGTTTGTATTTTAGCAGGGACACCTTTGTGAGCTTGCTGGTGACTTGTTAAATAAACTATCAAAAATTCCAAGGAGGTCATTAAGATTTTTTATTTTTCCCCCCACGTAAGATGGACCACAAGCCTTGTCTGTCAAAAGGAAAAATTTCTCATCACTAATATCCTTGAACCTGATTTGATCCTTTCAGCCCCTGTTGCAGTAAATCTGTACAGCATCAGCAGGTGCAACCATTAACGGGTCAATGTCGTTTTAGCCAATGTTTGTGTTCTATTTATTCCAATCGCAGTCATGGCACTGAATCAGGCAGTGCTATGGACAGATATTAAAAAATACTGCCTTTCCATTAATTTTAAATGACCTTTTAATCTACATTTAAATTTGAATTGAATGAAAATGCATCATTTTGTCATAGACCATGAGAGAAAGGACTTAAAGAGACTGAAGAGCAAAGGTTAGCCTTTGGTCTCCAGAAACTGCTTTGCAGAAAAGCACTGTGCTTGTAAAGATGCAAGGGTAAGGCAGAAATTCTCGCCCTTTGTCATAAAAATATAGACAGCTTTTGGAAAACAAAGAAAAGGCATCAAATTAATGCTCAAACCTCTATAACACGAGCCTGAACCTCTCTACCTGTCACTTGTGATGAATATGCTCTTGTGAAAAGCCAGATTATTCAGAATTAGACATCTTTTCAAACTTTCATGGTGCAGGCAGGTCTCTAAGGGAACAGTAAAAGTAGACCTCTGCATATAACAACAGTTTTAACAGCAAAAATTCATCAAAATCTGTCAGGAGATATTTAATGAGTCAGTTAAGATAAGGAATAATGATGCCAAGGAATGCAACAATCTCCTAGTATAAGAGGAATTCTGTTGTTTTCTTCACTAACATTGAAGGATGTAAACTGCCTTCTATACACAATGGGATGAAAGAGGGGTATCAGTAGGATTCCTGACATATGAAAAGGATTCATGATTGTAGATGGAGTTGAGTAAACTTCAAGGCAGGATAACTTTCAAACCCCAAATTTTGAAATGGTAAGCATCAAGACAGATCACGTAGTGTTTTTCTTTTCCTTTTCTTAAAACCTTGCTTATGTATTTACATGTCTCTCTTCACATCTAAGAATACTGAGAAATTCTTAGAACACAGCTCTGAGGTAAGGAAATATCTTGGTGCCTTATTGCCACAGAGGCTAAAGTGCTACATGTTGTAGTAAGTTCAGCTGTGTTGATTTAATTGAGCTAACTAGTTGCCTAAGATAATCCTGAAGACTGGGACGGAGGTGGGAATTGAGCCTGATTTTTCTGCACCCCAGTTCACTGCTTTAATCACAAACCTGTTGACTCTTCACAGTATTTTTTGCAGGCCTCTCTTAGCTCTAGTGAACTGAGAAACTTGCTTTCTCACCAACCCTACTCTAAGCTGGTTTGTACCTTGTTCATATCATCAAGGAACCTCCAGAAAGAAAACAAAAGGCAAACTAGACTTTGATGCCTTTTTGATACCATCGAGAATTGCACAGAGACCCTTTTTTCATTGTGTTTTCTGCAGAAACTTGTCTGTTTAGTTGTATGAATTATGTGATCTCATATGCCTTTATTTACACTACTTTTAAAATACTTTTGACAGGAAAAAACAATAGGAATTTCTATAGCTCACCATCAGTAACCTCCAGCTGAGCCTTTGCTAAAATGCTTCCAGCAACGGTCAGTGCTTGACAAATGTAGTAGCCTGCATCAGACCGCTGAATGTTGGTAATAGTGAGGTCTCCAGTTGGTGACACTGAATACCTGCTGTTGGGTTGGAGGGGCTGGTTCGGGAACAGTAGATTCTGCAAAGACAATTCATTTCACAACAATTCAAAACACAGAAGTACCACTTTTCCCTCAGCTAGAGGGACAATGATTTTTCATTAAAAGTACTATATATAAACTAGAAGAAAAAGTAAGTGTGGTTATGACTTTATGAACATATAGAGTTAGCTTTCCCTGCCTTGGGCAACTTTCAGTTTAAATTAGAAACAGCCCTTTGACAGCACACAGTGGTGTGTTCTGGCTGGGGGTCTAGGCGGGGAGAAATTTTCCAACAATAGCACTTGAGTGATTTGTATTTGTGACACATTCATCTTCATTCTGAATTTATTCGTAATAATGTACTTAGTTGGCTGTCAAACCAGGAGGTCACAATACTACAGTAAACATTAGAAAACTAGCAGAAAGAATTGAATTCCGGCGACTTGAGGGAGCATAGCACTATTGTTTGGCTGTGAATATGTTCTGGGCAACGGAGAAAGTAAGAGCATGGCACAGAAGGAAAGCTGGGAGGAAGATACAAATAGGTCATAAAGTAGGAGAAGCTGGCAGAGCACGAGATCTTAAAGGAGAAGTAAAAGGAAATTAAAACTGAGATATACCAAAGGAGAAAAGCAGCATGGAGCCTTGAGGGTGAAGAGAAAGGGTATAAATCTGATGTGGAAATCATCAGAGAGAAAAAAAAATCATGCAGGATAAGACATCAGTTAGCACAAAACAGGGAGATTAGCTTTTGCCTTTAGGCTGGATTGGTGAAAAGAAAGATGTTAATAAGAGTAACTGGAATGGATACAGCAGTCACTGCATATGGTGACTGAATGAATCAATAGTACAGAAAAGGACGGAAAAGCTTTTAGTGGCTGTGTTTTCAAGGAAAAACTCATACCACCCGGCACAGCTCCTTATGTGAATAAAAAAGAACAGGAAAAGGGAGGCAATGTGAACAGAAAGGTCATCAGCATTGTCCAATGAGACAGAAAGAGGAATAGATTAAACAATAATTAAACAACAGTAATTCCAGTCTGGCTTTTATGTCAACTCAACAAGCCTCTCTGAAGAATACAATTGTTTGTATCCGGACTATCCCAACACACTGTTACCATGTTGTGATAAGCTTTCAGTCACTACTGCAGCTCTGTATAGCTCTGCTGTGCTTTCTCACGATGACTCCCTACTAACTTTTAAGCTTGACTTTATGGGCTAAAAAGAAAATCTAAAAGTATAGAGTAGGGTATTGAATTAATTTTCTGTAGATCTGCTTCTTCTGCAGTAGACCTTAATGGTTTACAAAAAGTGATTTGGAACTGGCAAGCAACAAACTTGGATTTAAAAAAATACTGCTTTGAAGTGAAACTCTCACCTTTATTTCTCTGCTTTTGGCAATAAAAGGAGAGAGATAAGCCTTAAATAAGATTCAATACTCCAGATATCCTTATAACTGTATTAACCTACTAGGCTACTTGTCACGCTAGCGCGAGTCTTTCCCCTTACCCGCTTTCAATGTCAATGTTCAAGAAATTTTTCACAGCAAATTTTTCCTCAAAAATCAATATGTACCCAGTAAACATGTCAGATTCAATAAGAAAAAAAGTGTGAAAATTCTGAAACAATTTCAGGTTACAGGGCTAAGTGGGTCTCGAAAAAATTGCCCTGTTTTCTGAATTGCCTTGAAACTTTCAGAATAGCCTCTGCTTGGCACAGATGCCTACTGAATGCAGGTATTATGAAAACTCCACTACATTTTATGAGAAAGCAGAGAATCTTGATATGGCTGAGCTTGACTCCATTTATCACTTATAATACAATGTGTAAAAAGAAACACAACTTAAAAGACAAAGCGAAGATCAAGTTCTGAATTCTTAAGATGAAAAAGATCCAGAATCCTCTTCATCACTGCATTAGAAAGGGGAGGTTATCCTTTTTTTTACTTATCTTCAGCACGGGCTTATCTGTTCTTGAGAGGTACCACATCCCAGTGAATATTCCACACTTCAGGAGGAGCTCATCAGTCTCATGACTCCACCCCTCAAAGGCCAGATAACTATGAATTATAACTTGTCCTAAATTACAGTACAACCCCTTTTTAAATATTTTTACAGTTTCACTGGTTTTAATTAGCTGTCGGTTTGCTTATCCGGGCACAATAGTGGCACGCTGGGTTGCAGAGAGGGGAACCAGAGTCATCTGATGTAATAGCACTGAATTTATCTCAAGGAATAATTTAATCTAGAGAGTCTAAAGGTTACACACGCCCTGCCCTGGTGCATTTCATTGGTGGGCTGCTGTTAGGCTCCGGGGAAAAGGCCACCGAGTACAAAGGACCAGCTGTTTATGCACAAGTTGGCACAAAAATTGACTCGGGAGGGAACGGCTCCCCTCCCTTCCAGCTGGTTGGGCTCAAAGGCACAGGATTGAGAAATGGATTCACAATGAAAAATGCCCTGTAATCACTGGAGTGGGCTGACATGACTACATAACATTACTCCGAACACTAACAGTGGTGCTGCAAACGGTTCCTCGAGTAAAAGCAGGATCAAGCGTTGTAAAGCCAAGCAACAACTCATAGCCGGGCATGCAAAGGTAAAAAGTCACGTACGTTCAGCGGACAACGCCCAATTTGGCCAAAAGACCATCCTTCAGATTTGTGTGATGATACACAGCATGTGGAAACTCACCTATTCTATGGCGTCTCTGTTGCAAAATCTGGCAAGTTGTATATTGAGACAGGAATACTAGCCTGTGTTACTTCGCTGATGCTCAATTAAGATTAACATGAGGATGTAGTGAATCACATTGAGCTATGTTTCGAGGTTTGATTATAAACCATGTAGGTATCAATTTCTATGTTGCATTTATTTTGCAAAAAAGACCATTCTAACCCTCAGGGATCTGCTTCTCAATATGGTAATTAATTTTCCAGGTTTGTAATTAAACAGCTTCAACATGGTACAATCAGTAGGTAATAACATTCAATTAAAGACACAAGATGCATTTTCACCTTAAAATGTTTTTACCCTTGAAGTGATACGAATGGAAGGGGATAAAATAGAGTATTAACACTTTTCAATTACGCTAAATGACTTTAATCCTGCAAATGATGTCCTACTTTAATTAGAAGCTCTTCTCTTTATTACAGCATGATGGATGTCCACTTTATTAGATTCAAGTGTGACACTATAAGCTCACTTTACATAAACATTACCATGTTATTAAAATGCTCTACAAGGAAGGGTTTTGAAATGTTTGCTAGCACATCAGTACTTCCTACTTTAATTTCAATATGCCATTCTACTTTCCCCTTGGAACAATTTTCACCTTAGTGAGACTAACAATACTGTGCTTTTCCAGGAACGTGATCCCATGGAGGCTAGATCTAAAGTTCTCTGAATAATACACTGAAAGAAACACACTGAAGACTAAGCTTACACTCATACAAGCTTACACTCATAAAGTAATAGTGCATTTTTGTAAGCACAAAACGCTGTCAGCCTTGGCCCCGTCATTCTGACCTCGTGAGAAGGTGAAGCAGAAGCAGGTGGGGCAGAGTGGGAGATTTGCACTTCCGTTCTTATTTCACTTTTTAGCTGAGCTGGTGCACACAATGCCTCCAGATTAGACAAAAGGCACATCTGCACTGCACAGCCACAGTGTGAATACTTGAATTAACTCACATATTGCCGTACGGGAAAAAGTAGCACAGGGCTCTGAATAGAATAATTCAGCCAATGGAGAAGAGTACGTAGTATAGGTACTATAGTAGCCGTGACAGGCTTCATCGGTCAGCTGCAGAAGGCACTATCCTTGGGCATCCATTTGCCCCTTTTAACCGTTTCTCAGGTGCAAAAAAGAATATGGCACGTAGTTTACAGTGTTCAAACGCTGATGGGAGCTGCACATTGCGCGTGAGAAGGACTGACTTCCGCCGCAATATAGTGCCTATACAGCAACAGCAGTAAAACAATGTTACGATACGACATTCAGATATTAAACTATAGAAGTTAGTAGTGGCCGATGGCAACATTGACTGCTACATCAGAAATTTTGCTTTCAAAAAATGACAGTAAGGATCACGGAAATTTTTCCAAAACCAGATTTGGAAATCTCCTGAGACAATCTTACTGAGGAAAGCATCTGCGTGTTCAAATCCTGTATCTGTATGCACTATGAGAATATGCCAATGTAAATCAGCTTGCTAGATACATATCTGCTTGATCACGTCTAGACAAGTTATGAACTGTAATTACTGACTCTGATTAGTTAAAAATTGAGTCATACCTTTTTTACCTTCGATGTTTGTCTCACCCACCTGTCTGTTGGGGGCTCCAGAATGAAAAGTCTTTAAGATATATACTGTTGCTTTCTATACATTTGTACAGCACCTAGCACAAGTTTCCCCAACTTAAATGGACTTTGAGCTCTTCACAGTATTAATATTTTTAAAAAACATAAAGAAAACTGTTGGTAGAGAATATTGATAGTTTAAAAGACAAATTCCTGTGAAAGATTAAAAGAATCTCTGAAAGGTAATATAAATAATACTCCTAAAAAAATAACAATACAATTATTTAGAAAGGCTTGAAAGACTTATAGGGTGCTTATAACTTACCTGACTTCCTTCTTTTTGCCAGAAAACAGCTGGCTGGGGATTTCCTTTAGTTTCACAAGGAAAAGTCACTGTTCGACCCTGGGCTACAATCTGGTCTCGTGGTCTCACCACAAACTGTGGGGGGGCTACAATGTAAGAAAAAACATGGTGTAAATTTAGGATATTTTGCAAGGGGGAGATGAGGAATATTGAAAGAAAGAGACAACATTATGGAGATTTGTTTTATGCCAGAGGACATAACATCAGAAACATTAATTAGTATAGACAGAACTAATATATAAACAAAAATAACAGCAGCAACAAAAAGAGCAGCAATATCAGTATGTGATATCCCCAGTTGTTAAAAAAAAAGGGAAAGGAATGTTACAATCATATATGCTAGAGTAAATTCTGATGACAATAAATGCTAAGGAGCAGCAGTCAGGTGATGATGCCAGCTCTTGATGTATTATTCTACCTTTTGTCCGGGCAGATGTCAGCACACCCTCTACACTTCACAGAGTTCATTGTTGTGCTGGAGCTATCATGTATCACAAAGTATGAATTGGGATATACAGACTGCTTTTTTCAGTCTGCCCCTCTAGACTTTTAAAAACGATTGAGAAAAGCGAGGAAGGTCTGGATGACAGCAGAAGGACAGAAGTTCAAGAGCTCCCTCACTTCTCTTAGGGGTAGTGTGGTCAAGAATGGAGGGGGAAGGGGGACTTGCTGTAAAAAGAATGGTTGCTAAAACAACACAAACTTAGGAGATCCAGATTTCAGCTTGTGTAAAGACAAGAAAGAAGCAGGAGTTGAAGAGTTTGTGGGCAGCAGTGAGAGGTGAGTAAGAAGGAATAGGTATTCCAGGAGATGAGGAAGAGACAAGGAAAAGAAAAAAGGAGAAAGTGGAGTTAAAACAAGAAAGAAGAACCAGGACTGGCTATGTTTTCAAGTAGATGGGCATTAACAGTGTTCAGACACGGCGGACCAGGAAGCACAGTCAGAAGTGAACAATTTCTGAGAGAGAGGTGTAGTTTTATTGTCTAGGGTATTGATGGAGAACAGAGAGTCAATGTTTAGTGGCAATAAGAAGGGAGAGAAAAGGCATTAACATGCAGAAGGAAAGTGGGAAAGAAACAGTGTTGGAAGATTTGAGAGAAAAACTTGACATCAGCGACTATGTTGAGCATGATGTGATAAAGCAAATGACTCTTCTATGCATGACATGCAAACCTTCCAGTCTTAGTTCAACATTGCAGTTCACTGGAATTGGATTTATACTATTTGACATATCTTAAAAATGCAAGCAGTGTCTCCAAATATTCTCATCAAAAGACTAGCTAACCTTTGGGGCAGGCTGAAGAAGGGGACAAAATAATAATTAAAAAAAGCCACATTAATCTTCTTTTATTCCACTATTGGGACGGTGGTTCTGGAGAGGGATGGTTTAGGAACACTAAAGTTTTAGGTAAACAGAATTTAAGTGTTTTAGAAAACCATATTTTCACCGTTATAATTACAAACTATTTAATTAGGCACGAAGAGTAATCAAGACCCAGCTTCCGATTACACCTGCTGACAGCACGGACGCCAATCTGCTAACTGCATAGAAATGTATGCAGATCTGATTTTTTTGAAATACACTTTACAGTTATCTCATGAGGTACTTCCCAAGGCTTTACAAATCAGCAGGAGTCTAAAGAGGACCAGTTGAATAACACTGGTTTAATGCATTCTTAAAACAAGAACTGCAAAGCACTTAATAAACATGAATCACCATAAACTTAGAAGGCAGAAGGAGAGGACAAGACGAGGAGTCTTCCTTCTGCCTCACACTCCTAAGCACAGGTTTTGGCTTTTCTAGAGAGAGAAGTGTCCACCTCTTCCCCGGGCCTCAGCAGGTGTTAGTCTTCTGAAAGGACAGGGACGAAGGGCTAGGTACCCTGCTGCTGCCTGTTTATACCCATGTGTTTTGAGGTTTCTATAAGAGCATAGGTGTTGCTACACATACTCTAGGACCTGAACTCATCCTGTACAATTCCTAAAGTGCTGGACTGCAGCAAGTTACTTGTTTTTCCCTCACCTTGTTTTACCTAGCGTATCTGTATGCGATCCCTACAGGTGTCAGAAAGCAGTATCGTGGTAATAAGCACATGTGTTTGTTCGTTCAATCATATGGGAAAGGAAAAAGAGAAAGACCTTTAAGCTGTGAACCAGAAATCTCCTTTCCTATAGGCACACCTGACACTAAGGTATCTCTACAGCTCTGACCACCCACTTAATAAAGGTCACTGAATTAGTTCACTATCTGCTGCTCAGCCATAGAAGTTCATTGCCCAGGATATTAATATAGAATCAATAGCAACCTCAGGCAGCTGGGAGAACAGAAACCCTCTCACCTTATCTGCATTTGACAGGAACTACGCATCAGTCCTATGTCTATGCTGCATCATGGGTGGTCTCAAGACCATAATCTTTCTATCGTGACAATAAGAACCTGGTGGCAGGACACCACGCCCTAGATCATACCTAAGCATGATCGATGCTTAAGATTGTTGGGATCACCCTGCACGGCTCGACCTTAAGGAGAAGGAGCTGTGGCATTGAGAAACTGGTAAACAGCTGGACACCTGCAGGGCTCGGCCTTGAGGAGAAGGAGCTGTGGTAAACAACTAAGAGGAAGCAAAGGAGCGCGTGGACAGCTGCAGGCAGCGAATCCTGACTGTGGAGAAGCGCGTGGGCTGTGTGTGGTAACCAACCAGGATGTATTTTGTGGCGCGTGAAAGAGCTGTAACTGCATAAAAAACGGACACTTGTAGCAATAAAGGTCTTTGGCCTGAAACCCCGTCAGAGTCCGTGCCCTGTTACTCCACATAAGATGACGTTGCGGGCATGCTCGGTGTACTGGGGGTACGTTACGCAGACGGTAGTCTGACACAGCTCAACAGAAGAAGGACATGTTATTTCCATAAACCCATCTTTCAAATCAAATATCCGAATAAATGCAAGGTAGGTAAGTTTAAGGGTTCATCTGAAACATTCTCACACACACAAGTCTGTACTGTAATTCAGTAATTCAAAGCTCTGAGCAAATGTAATAGCACTGAACTTGTTGCTGTAGCAGACTTTCCAAGGACAAAATTAAGATAATTTGGTAGTCAAGGAACAATGGGAGATAAAACTCCGAGTTTCTAGTTTTTGACCTACCCCTAACTTTGAACATCTCTCACTTTCCTAAGAGAAGAAAACTGATCTTTGCTTTTGCAAAAAGAGACAAGGAAAAGAATTGAGAATTAAGACTGTAGCTCAGTCCAGATAATCCAAATGACATTGATTGACACTGTTTTTCTGTTCTCTCCCTGCCACACACCAAGTGCTCTCCAGCATTTGCTACACCAGGTGAACAGAAGGTCCGTGGCCTCATAGCTACTAGTTTAGACATCCTAAAGACTCTGGTAAACAGTGAGGTATGGTTATGCAAGGATATCTTTTCTAGCTTTTCTTTGCAGCCATAATTGCTAGAAATTCACTAGAAAAATAAATAAATTAATCAGAGCTTTTATTTAAATATAGTATCTTGATCTCAGAAGGAGCTGAGTTTCATTGGTCACTATGTTAATTAGAGTATAAAACCAATGCCTTCAGCCATACTATTTAATATAATAATTTTAAAGAACATGAAAAACATCACTTTGGAAAAATAAAAGCTTGCATGTGTTTTTTTGATTTATTCAAAGAAGGAGTTTTATAATGAAGGAAACCCCCATTTTCTTCCAGTTTGTTGTCATATTCAGCTATAGGTCTGTTTATAGACAGCCTCTGATAAAAATTACCTTGTTTACAGCATTTAAACAATATTTTCACCATATCAGTTTCCAGTTGAATAATGCAAACTGGCAATTGAAAGTAACAGTTAATAATTGCAGGAGTAATTCTTGGTCAAGTACAACTACCAAAGCAGTAAGCCTGGCATTTTCCCCAGAGAATGCAACACGACCCTGCTCAGAGACAGTAAAGCTTCTTTGACAGAACAAGCACTTGGTCTCTTCAATTTTCCTAAAAAGAGAGCTCATTCTCTTCATATATAGATGCTGTTTATAAAGATAGATAAATATTATTACTCCCATTTTGCAGAAAGGTTAACTGAGATCACGACTTCCTCAAAGCTCAGCTTCAGTGGAACATTTGACAAAACCTAATTCAAGCCATTATTGCTTCTCTCAAAGTAGGTGGATTTTTAAAACATTCTGAAAAGGTTCAGTTAAAGAAATAACAGCAGGCTTGATATGCTTCAGCTGTTAAAGTTATGTGGTACTTTAATACTTAATTCAAGCTAACATTAAGGTCATTAGAAGAATCTGTTGAAGAAACTGTTATGAAGCAGCAAACAGTGTTGTGCCTATCAAACTATTACCCTTTCCTGTTTCAGATGTAACATTAACTGGACTGGAATAAACAGAGTGGAAAAACTCTTGCTTAATTGAAATTTGAGAGTCAAAGACAATGGCTCTAAAAGGAAATATATTGCTTGAATTCCAGGGGACTAGACAAAAATATGAAAAAAGAACAATTAAGACTACAGACCTACTATACTTCTATTGAAACTTCTTTTCTTTTTTTTTTTTTTTTGAGAAATTTAAATAGTATACAGTAAATTAGATTTGATTTCTGGCAAATTATGCTTTGATACTGCATTCAGCAAGCACTGGCTTCAATCAATGTCACGACAAAGCTCTGTTATGCTAATAGCCGCTTGTGAGGCTGAGCGGGATGATATGGAAATCAGATGGTTGAACATGAATAAAAAGCATAGGCCATGTACGAGGGGGCTTTGAGAAGAGGGGATGGGGGGACCCTAAGGTTAATCACATCATGTTCAGAACTGTTTTTACAGCACAGAACAGTATCCTACTGCAGGAATTAAAATGGAGAGAGAGCGTGAGCAGTAGTGAGCATGAATTATGTTCAAAATGGGAAGAGTACGTTCTGTTGCACTCTTTCTAGATGTCATTTTATGCATGACTGAATGGATCTTTTATTCTATTAGTAAAGGTATACGAAGGTAGCCTCTGCTCAAGTGTTAAAGAGCTGTAGAAAAAAAAAAGAAGAAACAAATACTGCAAATTATTTCAAAAGGATTTCTCAA